TTCATTGTTAATGTTCCCAGTGGTGCTACGGGGTTTCCCGGCAGCTTCACCGGTGGTGTTTTTAATACTACATCTCATAATGTTTCCACGAGTCGCTAGGGATAATCAGTCCCTTTTTTCTACAGAGCCCCGCATGTAGAAATAAGGGGTAAATATAATGGGGTGCCCCCTAGTGCCCAAAGTTGAAACCAGTAAAGGCTAATCTTCTGTCTAGTATCGCATTCTTTTCACCTCGTCCTGCCATCGTGAGATTTAGGTTCCACACCCTCTGCCCGTGAAACATGACACAGACAGTAGAGGATGCCTGGTATGACGGACAGGGTAGCCCCGTCCGGTATCGTTACACTAAGGGCTGGCAAAGGTTAGTCTTGGGTCGAGATTTCCGTATGTAAAAAGAGTACAATGCGTTTATAATGTACTGAACAAAGAGAGGACAGTAAACACGTTGCCAAACATATGAAATAAACCGAGAAACTGTGCACATCGCTAAGAGACGTGGAAGGGGATATAGCAGATTTGTCGCAGTTGACCGGTCGACCATAGACAAACAGAAAAATTAAAAGACTGCCAGAAGACATACGACGCGCAGGCAAATGTACCTGTAGCGCATCGACGCAAGTGCCGAAATACGTCCATCTAGCTATCTGTGTTTCGACACTAGTCCGTTAGTCTTAGCATATTCAGAAAGAACACGCTAACCTCCAGCGTTGCCAATTTGTGGGGAATTCCCCAAATTTTGGGGAATCCGGAGCCGATTGGGAGTTCTGTGGGGATTTTAGCAATAGGGGCGAAAATAAGGGAGTTTCAACATTTTATTGCTGATTGAAAATGGCGTAAAATTTTTAGCTTTAAAAACGGAGCGGGACGATATATCTTTCCCAACTTAAAATTATAATCTGCTTTTTACTTGTGCTTCCCTTTGCAAATGCTTCAGTTGAAAGAAAATTTAGTGACCTCAAATTATTTAATGACTACTAGGGAAGGGATTAAAAAACAAGGAGGTAATTTACAGTTTAATCCCTCTAACATATATAATAAATATTGTATTTTTATTAAAATTATTTTTTTTTTGTTAAAATAATCATATGGGGAATTTTTGGTGAATCTGGACATTTTTCTCCCCAAATTGGCGAATTTAATTTAGATTTTTGGGTAGTTTAGAAAATTGACATTGGCAACGCCCCTAACCTCATTCTTTTGTTTGTTGATTGTTCAAAAATCGGCACACGGCGTAGTACAAGGCTTGATCATTTTTTAAGAAATTTTTGATTGTTAATTTTATTTTTGTGCAAACTAAACAGTTGTTTTTTATTAAAAAATAGCAGACAAAGGTAAGAAAGGTAATGTCCATGCAGAAGTTTTTATTTCACACGCTATTCTTTCTAGAAATTATACCATCCAGCCCTCCTATTTAATTATTAAATGAAAGTGTGAAAGAGATATCAAGGGCTATTCTGTTAAAATATCATCCGGCCAGTCTAGGCCCTGTTGTGAACCAGAAGGTCTGCTAAGTTGGATGTTGGATATAGAATGGAAGGAATATCATGGCCGAGAACAAGGCATAATTGTATGTCCCTTGATGTAGGGGGGTAGGTTTGTTTCTAATAGGCAGTAAAACCAAAAATTCTACTATGAATCTTCATATTCTAGGTCTGTAAAGATAAATAATTCCTGGAGCCATCTCGAGGTATAGTACTCAAGTCGGAGCGAATCAATTAATAGCATGATGAAAAGAAATAATAGCCATCATAAAACTGTAAATATGTATATAACTAGTACAATGTAGCTATTTAACTGTAAGTACAATGTAGCTAGCTATTTAGTAGAATAGGGGTATTATAAATTAATACAAAATACAATAATTGATCATTCTTTCCATTCCCATTCAATTCTTCCCATTTAATCGTTTTCCCATAAAAAAAGGAAAATTAAAATTAAGAGTGCTCTTAACCAAAAATAGTGAAATAAATGGAGATAGTCAAATTTTGTATTAGCGTGTAAGACTTTGAATAAAAAGGTGTAAAAGGATTATAAATGCTGTATTTATATCCTTTAATATCATGATAATATAAAATTTGAGTAGGTATCTCCATTTATTTCACTGTTTTGGGTTAAGGGCCCCCACTCTTAGTTTTAATTGCCTTAAAAATAATCAGTATAATAATAATTTAAATCTCCCGCTCTTTCATAGTTCGTTCCTGTAGCCAACTAGAGGGCGCTAAAAGCGCAATCTCCCAACATTTTACCACGCGATTCACCACTCTCTAAACTATTAACTTTCTCTATGGGTCGATCCAATCAATACCTCTGTCAGTACTTAAGGTTCTAGGGAAAGGTGTACGTCATGCGTTCAGCTTCACGATTTAATTACGTCTCGTGATACTTAATTTGTTCAGTTATTAACGAATCGTTGTAACTTTCCCTATAGCTTGAATTTTTTTAAGTGCAAGCTAGAAACACTTGTATTTTTGGTAAAAATAAGTGGAATTGAGTGGGTGTTCGATAGTGGTCGCGCTATTAGAACTCTGAATTCAAAAATCGATATCTCGAAATCTATTAGAGATAATAGATTGTAGTTTTTTCAAGAACTTTGTTAATATTTCTGCTGCATTTTCTTCGTAGACAGTATGTGAAAATCTTTATCAATAAAAAAATTACACGATTGCTGAAAATTGCTATGCTCTAAAAGTAAATGGATGGATTGTTTACAATTTTTATAGAAATACAACCTTATCGAATTTTTCTTAAGTAAACATATTGTAAAATATCCGATTTTGAAAATAAAAAAAAGTTTCAATATCTAAAGTTGTTCTTGAGTTATGGCCTGTTATGTTTTAAAAAGTTGAGTTTTTAAATTATCGCAATTACTGACGTTTTCTCGTTATAAAAAAAAATGACACCCTAACGATATCCTTATAATTCCATTTCAGATGCTCAGAAACATGTCTAATGATTTTATCTAGTTATCTCTTGAAAAAAAAGTCTTTTAAAAATAAGCGATTTACGATCGTGATTTTACTTTACTTGATAGGCAAAGGTGTATCGGCAACGCCGCAACAGCACACCGTCGCGCGTCGCGTCGGTCGGTCGCATTTCTCTCACTCCAACTTAATAAGATCCCTATGCGATTTACTTCAACACATGTAAATGCCGACCCAAAAGTAACAGTTGCCAGCACGGTATGTCTTGCTGCAATTCCCTGGCCACGACACTACAGCCAGGGACAAGACGATGAGTGAGATGCTTCATGGACCAAGCTAAAGTGCTAGGGGGATTCCCCCAGCACTTGATTAGGAGCTTCCCCGCCAAAAACAAGGTCTTGCATCTCCTAGGGGAATGCTTTAAGCCTTATAATACTAAGTATAATACCAACATAAATGAAAAATGTTAATTATAACTCGAACTGCACACTGGGCTCGAAAATAGTCAAAAAAAGCAAAAAAAAATTGACTAAGGAGAACAATTCCGTTTCTATGAAATGTTCTAATAATTGAGTTTTGTATAGGTAATAAAAAACTGTTTGATTAAACATCTGTATTCTGCTTACCCAAGTAGCATTTTCACGACTTGCGACCACATGTTTACTAAACACAACGTTGGATTAGTTACAAAAAATAGTTAGCTCCCTACCTTGGGTATTAAAATAAATTTAAACGTTTTTATAACGTTGTGCCGACGTTGGACTAGTACTACAGCAAAGTAGAAGCTTCTGCGACGTCGAATAAACGTTGTCTTGTAATCTTTTTTGCTTAAGTGATCTTTAGGTGATTCGGACAACGTAGTTACAACGTTGGACAATATAGAGTTTTCCGACGTCAGTTACAGGACCTATTCCAACGTTATGCAAACGTCGTCTGTTTTATTAATTCCAACGTTGTTTAGATTTCCTTATTCTTACGTTGGTAGGACGTCGAGTCACTACCTTTTTGCAACTGTATTGAACCATAACCTTAAATCTTAAATTTTCACTTCATTGTTCTGTTCAGTCAGACAGCAGTGCTGTTTTTGTTTTTATAAAAAAAACTTAATTAAAATGGGACATAAGAAAGGTACATATAAAACTAAATTTAAATATACATCGACATATATTACCGATAGTTTATCCACTCCCTCGTTTATTTAGATTATAGAGGGCGGCACAAGCTAGACTCTAGGATGACTAAATTAGGCAATCTTGCGACTATTATACTACCTGTTAAGGCCGAACTGCGACTTTATTAGTTCAGTATGGGACTACTCGAACTACTCCATCTTAATCTCCAAAACAACAAAGTGAAAGCCGCCATGTTGTTAAATAAGAAAATGTTTCGTTCCTATTTATTTTCGTTCCTAATAGCAATTCCTGCTTTTTGAATACATTAACTTGAAATATTTGACCCTAAAAAACACGCGGAAACAATTTTTTCGACTGCGAATAAATTATTCTCATTTTACTAAAAAAAAATTCAAGAAAATTTTTGAAACTTCTTTAATTTTAAGGCCCATTAGTATTTTTCAAAGTAGAAACAATACATTTATCAATAAAGTTGTTTGCGTTTAACTTTGTTGCCTTGGGTAACGAGTTACAGAGTCGGTTAAAGTGTTTCAATAATTATGATCTTCAAACATCCTCCATTAAATACTTTTGTTTTGTTTTCCTTGACTGCCATCTGACATATGTCTCTAACTAAATCATAAAAATAATATTTTTACTATAATTATCCCAACTTAGGATAAAACACGACTTAGACGCCATATTAGTTTTGTATTTCTGTGAATTAGGATTTTAAACAACGTTGCAGTTTGTACTAAATTAGGCTTCTAGCCAACGTCGGTATCCAACGTCGTTTCGACCCAAAAATTATTCTCCAAACTAGTGCAGACTAGGGTTGGCACGAGGTTGTGCCGACGTTGCGCCCCGACGTTTGGTCGCGTGACACAACGTTGTCCCGACGTCCAAATGCTGCTTGGGTAAGGTTTTTGATATGACAATATAATTTATGATAATATCTTTTTTACAGAGAGAAAAAAAATATTAGATGGTATAAATGGAGATTTCTTAAGTGGTGAATTAACAGCTATAATGGGTCCTTCAGGATCAGGAAAATCCACGCTGATGGATATTTTAGCCGGTTATATGTAAGTTAACACATATTTTCTGGTTATATACATTATACATAACAATGCACTATTAATATACCGTTGAAAAATAAGTATTGTTATCGGTAATCTAATCAAAGAGTAACGAATGACCAGATCAATAATTAATCGGTACTATCAATTTCCACATTAACATATTAGCAATTACCACACCACATAGGGAAGAATATCTGACTAAACATTATGAACACTACTAGACGTATCCTATTATAGTTTACTGAAATTATGCTCAAAAAATTCTTTGCACGAAAACTTTGGGATAGTTTTAATTTCTTCCATTCTATATGTTTTTTGGGTGCTCTATTTGAAACTGGGATTTGCGAATTCATTTTCGTGGAAAAATCTTAAACAAAATAAAATAAAAAAAAATATAAATCTGATTTGTTCGCGGTATTTTACTTATAATTCAAAAGCTATCAAGTTTTTGTAAATTACCTTTCTTTCTATAATTCTTGTTTTTATAAATTTTCTCTAAACAAACTGTTTTGGGTCAAGAGCCAGCAAAATTGACAGTTTTAGACTGACTGCTCATAATCGCACTTTTTCTATTAGGTACCCGTTTATTTGTTATTAACGCCTGATACCCTCAAATTATATATCGATATTCTTATTATCCAAAAAAAAAAGCTTATAAGTTTGCCTCATTAGTTAAATTAATTTATTAACAGTAGTGGGAAAATATATCAATCTTTTGGTGATTTTCATTTTCCCAATTAAATGTGTATAATAAACGAAAATAGTAGCAGAATCGTAGAATTTTCTCATTAGAGCAAGACAAAAGAATGCATCTCAATCACTGGCTGAAACTCATTTTAAACCCCATAAAACTGTATTTGATCATAAACTGATTGTGCACGAAATAATTGATTGTGAAAAAGAAAAGAAAATTTTCTTAAATTCTTATAGAAAAATAATGCAACTGCTTGAAACTAAATACTAATATTTTCCGAACGATTTCAACTGCTTGAAACTAAATACTAATAATTTATTACTGATACCAGAACGAGACTTCCGAAGTTGGAATTATATTTCTCATAACTCTATATACCGGGTGCGTCTCAAAAGTGGCTCACCCCTATAACTTGTTTATTTTTTCAGAAAAAAAAACGAAATTTGGTATGTTAGTATACGACATAAATTAGGATTAATTGACGTATTCAATTGTTTTTGGTCACTTACCTAAACATTAGACAATCAAATCTATTTTTCCAAGGCTCCTTGTTTAAAAATTAGTGTTTTTAACAGAACCATGGCACTCTAGATTGAAATTTAAAATATAATCACAGAACACACTAAAGAAGAACGCTAACTCCCATGCATTTTTTAGTTTCAAAACGGTTTCAAATTTGTAAAGAAATCTGTAATCTGTATATTGAAGTGGCGCCATCTAGGCACCCAGGAAAGTAACAAATGTGGCGGCAAATTTAAATAGATGCAATTTACTTTTAAGCAAGACGTATTGACTTGTTCGCCAGTTAGAGCCAATCAGATTTCTACAAAATAATGTGTAGTCATCTGATTGGTCCAAAGTTGGCAAACAAGTCAAATGGTAAAAAACAAGTATTTATATATAAAGGTTAAACCAGGTTAAACTATTGTAAAGTGTTAAATGGTATATCATTTTATGTGCCTAAAACCTACAATAAATAATTTATTTTAATTTACAGAAAATTATACCATGAAACATTTTACAAACAAATAAAACAACAGATTAAAAAGTATAATATTTATTATAGTACCAGATTTAAGAACACATAACAAATATCGTTGGAATACAAGAGAAAGTGACGTCCATTAGAAACAATGTTTTATTTACATGTATTTTTTACATATGGACTTGAACAATTGTGTAATATCCCATTGTGGAGTTTATGTACAAAAATATGGAGTTGATCAATTTTTTTTGTAAAAATATATGGCGTTGTAAATATTCTAGGTTACCTCACTTTCTCGGATTACCTTAAATAAAATTGTTAGATAAATCAAAGACCTTTAACTTAAACCTTACCTTTAATAAAGATCTTAAAAATCAAACACAAAACAAAGTTCAAAAAAATTCAAAAATACAAAATCACGATTGTAAAATGAAAATTGTAAAAAACACAGCCAAACAACCAGAAAACAGCGAAACGCACATCTCCGTTCAATTGCAAAACACAACTGAAGAGGAAGGAGGAAGCCGGAAACGGAAAACTGATTTGACATACGGAACAATGACAGAACATAATTAATAGGCCTATTTAGGCAACTATAAAAACAATTTTGTACGCAATTGTTAGGCAACTAGAAAAATTAAAATAAAAATACGCCATCTAGCGCCCCAGGAAATTACTACCCCAAAAACAGATCGTTCAAGGCCGTATATCTCAGTTGACTGGCCCTGAATATAATGTTTTTTGGACGAAAATGTCAAAAGTTGACATATGATATGTCATTCTACTCAGAGTGTCATTTTCTATCAAATAAAGTAGAAATATACCAAGGTGCCATTTAAAAATCAAAAGTTTTAGTCATTTCCGGTGAAACAGGAAGTGGCCAAAAACAACTGAATAGTCAATCAATCCTAATTTATGTCATATACTAACATACCAAATCTCGTTTTTTTCTGTAAAAAAATTAAAAGGTTATAGGGGTGAGTCAATTTCGAGACGCACCCGGTATACAAAAACAACAACCGCAGACTAAGATTGAAAGAAAAGAAGAATTTTGAAGTATCTTTAAGTGAAAATGTATTGTTACAGTAGCATAAAATATTAGTGATGGGAACTATCGAATGAATTAGACTATCGAATGGTTACTGAATGAATGATTTCAACTATCGAATGGTTTTATTCGAATAAAATCATTCATTCATTTGTATACTAAAGCACATGTGACAACCTCGCCGTGCGACTAAATGGTTATCGTTGAGCCACGACTATCGAATGCTTTTGATAAATGAAATTTAGTATTCGTTTGATTTTTGTATGCGTCAGTGCATTATTAGTTCTTCCAAATTTTTATAACTTCGCCGTATAAATACTTGTACTATTTTTGCGTTTATTAAAATAGTTAAAAATACTTCCAAATTTTTATAACTTCGCCGTATAAATACTGTACTATTTTTGCGTTTATTAAAATAGTTAAAATACTAAAATAGTAGTTATTTTTTAATTTTATTTATTGACGATTGTGTGCATGTGCAGGTGGTCAAAATTTTTCCGAAAATTTGTGTGGTGTTCCGTAGTCTGATCTTTCAATACTCTAATGAGAAAATTCTACGATTCTGCTACTATTTTCGTGTATTATTATACACATTCAATTGGGAAAATGAAAATCACCAAAAGATTGATATATTTTCCCACTACTGTTAATAAATTAATTTAACTAATGAGGCAAACTTATAAGCATCTGATCTTTCAATACAGAACATACAGTTTTTGGCTATAAACAATTTTAATATAGTTTTTTAGATAATATTATATAAAAAATAATTGTATATAGCGACTATTGGATCATTATGAAAGAAAGAGAAATAAAAATATTTTCTTACTCCCTGTATGATATTATTATAAATACCATAAAAATGTTGAATATATTGTCTTTTCTTAATACACAACGCAAATTTTACTTTTCAATATGATGAAATCATGCTTTACAATGTTTAAGTTCTAGATAATGTTTTTGTCAATATTACCAAATGACGTTTTATTTTTTATCCCAATAACTATTATTACGATGCGTAAAGAGAGTAATAGAAAAATGATTTATTTACCCCATTATTAAAATACCTCATGCGAGTAGTTAGGTAGAAAAAGGTGGGGGGCGTGTAACGGAAGGTTAATAGAAATGTAAAAAAATCAAAGATGTAATAATATGCTGAGTGTTCTGTTTAAAATTATACGTAAATATGATACTATTTTTTACTAGTGATGGGCAAAACTGTTATTTTTAGATAACAGTTGAAACTGTTATAGTTATTTATAAAAAACAGCTTAAAATAACAGCTTAAAAATAACAGGTTTCTTTATTTTACTGCTAAATATCTGAAAGAGTATGAGACGGTCATCGCCAGGCGTATTAACGCAGTTGCAAGTTGCAACAACGTGCTCGGTGGTAGTATTTCCAGGGTGTCAAACAATTTCTAAATATCAATTGTTATCTAAAGCCTACTACTCTGCTACTCGCCAACATCAGCGGACACGGGGTGCAGGCAAGGGCGTGACAAATGACTGCGATAAGGATCATAGGCGTCGATTCGGCCATTCGGCCATTCCTATATACCTATGAGTGTCCCTCACTCCTCTGAATCCTGAATTAAAAAGGGCAAAATAATCAGAACCATTTAAATTGCATTTTTTAAAAGCTGAAATAAAATATTTATTAGCTTGTTTGTCTGAAAAATATCTTTATCAGCTAATTGCTACCATATTCTTCACTAAAAGGAAAAAACTACACACTAGAATCGTTTTAATTTTAAACATTTTAAATGCTGAAATAAAAATATATATTAGATTGATTGTTGCTGATACTAGACAATTGTGATACATAAACCAATTGACAAAACTTCATCAGCATACAAACTGGATACCATTATTACAACACACTAAAAGGAGAAACATAATCAGAATCATTTAAAATAAGCTTTCTAACGTCGAGCAGTTTAAGCAGAATCGTGGTTAATCAATTACTCTCAACTTTTGGAACACCCTGTATGATTTTTAAAAAAATTTCAAAATATGTAAAAAACAAAATAAATTCATGTCCAGGCGTTTTCCCGAAAGACTAACTGTTTTTAAATAAAAATATAGTTAAATTGTTCACTGCTCATACTTGGGCCTACGTCTTATTTGCTACTTAAATAAATAAAATAAAATACCGTCAACCACTCAGAAACAATACTCAAAAACTCATGATGGACAAATAAATTATTCAGGGAGAAAAGCAAATTACTCAAAAGGTAAAATAAACGAAACACCTTATATATTGGTGTTAAAAAT